ATGCTATATAAATTTTTAATAGTTCTTACAAAATTATCCTATTCAAACTTAAAATAGCTTTGTGAGGAGCCAGTGTTGTCTGCTCTCTTGATTTTTTTTTTTTTTAATTTCCCAGCCAGGAGCCATGCCCACAGAGGCCCATTTCCTCCAACAGCAATCCCTGCCAAGAACAGTTCACGGAAGGAGTGAGCTTGAACTGAGCCATGGTGATGATTCGATTTAAAAAAAAAGTATGAAAACTTCTAGGAGAGTGATGTGATTACAGTGATAAAGCAAAGAACAAAGACAGGGATTTTTATCTGCTTGGTTCACTGATGTACACCCAGTACCTAGAACAGGGACTGGATCATAGTAAGCTGAATCAGTTATCTGTTTAATGAATACGAATGACTTATTCATGTGCCTGAGTGACAAGACCAATCCGAAAGGAGCAAAGGATTCATGTTTGTTGAGAAGGTGGGTAAATAAACCCACCTGAGGGTTTATTTTTCCTTTAAGATATAAGTGACAAGCCATAAAATTCACCCTTGTCAAGAGTGTAATGCAGTGGTTTTTAGTCTACTCACAGGGGTGTGCTACCATCACCACTAATTCCAGAATGCTTTCATCACCTCAAAAAAAAACCCTGCACCCGTGAGCAGTCATTTCCCACTCTTCCTCACCCCCAGCCCCTGGCAACCAAACCGTATTCTGGACATTTTCAACAAATGGAATCATACAATATATGGACTTTTGTGACTGGCTTCTTTGACTTAGCATAATGTTTACAAGATTTATCCATGTTGTACCATGCATTAGTACTTCCTTACTTGTTACGACTGAATAATATTCCCTTGTGTGGATATATCACATCTTATTTATTCATCAGTTGATGGCCTTTTGGGTTGTTTCCACTTTTTTGATAATTATGAATAATGCTACTGTGAACGTCTATGTACAAGTTTTTGCTTAAACATATGTTGGATATCTACCCAGGAGTAGAACACCTGGGTCATAAGGTAACTGTACACTTAACTTTTTGAGGAACTGCCAAAGTGTTTTCCAAAGCAGCTCCGCCATTTTACATTCCTGCCAGAAGTCTGTGAGGGTTTTACTTCTCCACATCCTCATCAGCACTTACTATTGTCCATCGTTCAGATCATAGGCATCCTTGAGCATGTGAGGTGGTAGCCACACAAGTTTAAAACCAAATGAGAGAGTGACCCAGGACTGAAACAGATCAAAGTGTCACCTTCATTTTTGCTAGTGCTATACCAGAGGAGAGGATCAGCTGAGAATCCAGTAGGCCTGCTAATGCCACACCCTGAGTTGGCTAGACTTACCCACCTGGGGATAGACAACATGGAACAAGAAACCCCCACCAACAACACACACACACTAGGCTGTCACTGTGCAACTTAGAGTGTGGAAAAGTACAGAGAACGTGCTCTTCCTGTAGGAGGTGGATCCCATAAAAGATGGGAATAAGAACAACACAGACATACCCAACTCCTTCCCATCAGTTAAGTGGCTCTTCCTTCCCGGAGCGGGAGTGAGGAAGGGGACAGGAAGAAGTAAACAGAGCTAGGAAAGGGCATTTTCCCTGCCCAATAATGATAAAGAGTAATAAAGTAGAGGGAAGTGGGAATGGGAGCATAGCATCTATCTGTTCAGTTTTCCATTGCTGGCCAGCTGATACTTCTTTTCCTAAGCACAACTGAAACCAAAACATTAGTAAGCACTCAAAGTTACTGGTTCGCCTAAAAGGAACTTAATAGAAATACGTTAAAGTTGAAAAGGACTTTTACACTGTCGTATTGATACCTAGTTCACTTATGCAAGAACTAAAACACCAAAAATTAACTCGTTTTTAATAGTTTCATCAACAAAGTCAATCAACAAGTCACCAAAGTTGTTTTATCATATACTGTGTAGGAACTCTAACAAAAGCTATTGCTCTGTCAAATGCAGAACAAAAGTGCTTCCATACTCATTCACTGATACCTGACGCCTATTCTATATTGATTACTTAACTCATTGACCTCTCCAGTTCCTATCTTTGCTTCACAAGGAAAAGAAGTCCCTTTAACCCACTTTCATCCAATAAAAATAAAAGCCTAAGACACTGGCCTCTCTTGGCAAGAAGTGGGAACTAGGTAGGGGCTTGGTGGTGGTGAAGTGGAAAAACTTTGACAAGCTTCTTCAAAGTGTGGATTCATCATTCTGTTTGAAACTAATTCTTGGCATATTTTAAATGTCTCCACTTAAAGTTAAAGCCAAATAGGCTTGGCGTAATTCTTTTCATCTCTAGTGAATAACAGAGTGTGTGTGCATGTATTTTTGTCTAAACAGTGTGTAATCTTTGCAAGAAAGGTTGCACGCTGGGTTGAAACAGGTTTAATTAACCTAACCATCCTTACATGTTAATTTCCTTTGCTGGTACTCTGTACAAAGATTTTCTTAACATGGAAGGCAATCTGAAGTTTAAAAAAAAAGTTTTAAAAAATATGTATGTAATGGTAGGAACAGTGTGGATCTAAATAAACCTTCAGAAAGAAAAACTATCAGTATGTACCAAAAGACTTTAAAGAAAGGGACCAATGCTTTGACCCAGCAAATCCCATTCTCAGAATTAATCCTTAAGCAATTATTAAAGATGGGTTCAAAATGCATCAGGAGGGGCGCCCAGGTGGCTCAGGTGGTTGGGTATCTCACTTTTGACTTCAGCTCAGGCCATGATCTCGGGGTCATGAGATCGAGCCCCGCATCAGCTCTGTGGAGTTTGCTTCAGATTCCCTCTCTCTTCTCCCTCTGCCCCTCCCCATTCTCTCTCTCTCTCTCTCTCTCTCAAATAAATAAAATCTTTTAAAAAATGTATCAGGAAGGACTTTCCTTACAAATTATTTGTATAGTAAAAGATTGGAAGCAATCTAATGTCTATTGCTATGGGATTTTTAAATAAATTATGGCAAATGAATAGGAAAGAATATTACACATTTTTAGAAATAAAAGTTTAGAAGATTATTTAATACATGTTAAAATGTTCATAATATTGGGCGCCTGGGTGGCTCAGTCGTTAAGCGTCTGCCTTCGGCTCAGGTCATGATCTCAAGGTCCTGGGATCGAGTCCCACATCGGGCTCCCTGCTCAGCGGGAAGGCTGCTTCTCCCTCTCCCACTCCCCCTGCTTGTGTTCCTGCTCTCACTGTGTCTCTCTGTCAAATAAATAAATAAAATCTTTAAAAAAAAGTTCATAATATTATTAGGTTAAAAAAAATTCTGCTTCAACATACTGTGCACCATGTCATCTTGGTTTTGGGGGTTATATATATAAATACAGACACATAAAAAACAGACTGTTACCATTAACTCATTATATAGGAAGCAGTAAGTTTGGGTATACGATCTGTTTGAAGAAAATGAGGCATCAAGAGAAAAGCAATGACCACAAAAACAAAGTGCAATAAACACTTCCTTTGCCACAGCTGAACTACCCTTTGTCTTAAATTCTAGTTGTAACTGATATGAGTTTTGATGTGCCTTATTAGTAAGGCCTCCGTCTGGGACCTCAAATGACCTCTGGAGGTCAATTAGCTATTCTGCTTCTAAAAAAAAAACAAACAAAAAAAAAACTGACTGAACTTGTTAGTGAGACGTTTGACTCAGGTTACTGTGGCCTGCAAATGTGGCTCCTTTGCTAAGTCTATAAAGTTCTCGTGCAATCTTCTCTACTCCAAACTCATGATTCAGCATCCGCAGTGCTCAGGGCCCTGGCTCAGCTGACGGAAGCTTTGGTTTGTACAAATGCCAGAAAGCACCGTTCAAGTGCTTGATTTAGCATTTCTGCTCACTTTCCACAGCATCCACTTTTCGGGAGCTTCAACAACCCCCAAGATGCAGCCTGAGGCAAAAACTGACAGAACAATAAGAATAATAACTGGAAGTTCTTAATATGTGGCATAAAATTCAAAGGCTTAAAACACGCATCAAATTACAAATGTGCCCACTGTTAATTGGACAGTTATAAATCCTGAGAAATTCCAGAACCCCCTGGGCAGTATTTACAATGAAGGCCACCCATAAATATTTGGTGAGAAGCTATCACATTGAAAAAATCTAGTTCTCTGTGCTACACAACCCAGCAAGCCCATACATGAAAGGCCCACTTCTGTGCCAATACTCGTTAGCAATGTAGAAAAAAAAAAAAACAGTTTCCCATTGTATTTTGTTTCCCTGTTTCCTCTCCTGTGCCCGTGGTATCTGCTCCATGGACACAGCTTAGGTTCAGTGGTACTCTGTGGACTTCCTACAAATCAGTCTCTGAATGTAGCCATTCCCAGGATTTTCATCCTGACTGGTAGAGATCACTGTCTCCCTTATCTAAACCCACCTGCTCCTTATTGACACTCCATTAAAAGAATAGTTAATCTCCACTGAAGGAAATCAAGTACCCAATTAGCTTTCAAGGACAATCCATGGTGGCCTCGGGTAAGTTTATCTGCCCCCTCTTTGCCTCAATTTCTTCCTTCCTTTGCACAACAGAAATAATAATATCCATCTCCCAGAACTCTTGTGAAGATTAAGGACAGTGTTCCCTGAATCTCCCTTCCCCTACCTGTCTTCTGCCCTTCTCAGGCACCAAAGTCTCTTGGACTAAACAGCCATTCTAGTGTCATCATTCAGACTCTATGACCATGAGCTGGTGATCTACTACTTGAAGGTATTGCTATGGAGCTGTATAGCTCTTTATACCATTCATTTACAGAAGATACTGTATGTATAACCAAAACAATAAACATTTCTTTATTGACCTGAATATACAGAATCGCTAATGCTATCTCGAACATTTATAAGTTTTAAATAAGTCTCTCCTAAACTTATTTTAAATTTGAAAATAGCACTGTTGTACAAGAGGACAGCTCATTTTATTGAGAGAGACATCAAAACAATGCAGTGTGCAATGAACAATTCTATGGGCAAGCATGTTTATGCTGCAGGATTTCCATATGTTCTTAACTATACCTTAGAGTGCTGTGGCTTCCCATTTTCGTAGTGGATCTCCACGTAATCAGAAGACAGCAAACCACTACAAGGGAAAGAAAATAGAGTGATTTCTGCATCCAAGACACTTAGAGGTTTAAAAATAATCAGCTCAGTAGATGGCTACGAGGGGCGTGTAGACCACAAAGAGCCACCCGCCACGGCAAGCATGAACAGGTTTTCATCAAAAGCCTCGAACGTTCTCCAGTAACAAATCTTTCCTCACTCTGTTCAAAAAAAAAAGACAAAATATAGGCTGAACTCTGTTTATACACACTATGCATCATTTGACTGATAGGTTAATTAATATGGAACAAACAGAAAAGGCAGGTAACAGGAGACAGACCTTATAAAAATCCCAAAATTATGTTCTAAATAACTGGAATCTCAAAAACATAATCACTGAGGAAAAGTATAGAATAAGGGCCAGATAGTAAATATTTTAGGCTTTTCGGGCCACATGGACTCTGCCACGACTACTCAATTCTAGACACAGACACAGGTGATGTAAACAAATGAGCGTAGCCATGTTCCAGTAAGACTTCATTTATGGACACTGAAATCTCAATTTCACCTAATCATCCTGTGTCATGACATTTTTTCTTCTTCAATTTCTTCAACCATTTAAAAAATGTAAAAAATATTCTTAGCCTGAGGACTATGCAAAACCAGGTATGCTCAGTTTGGCCTGTGGGCCATAGTTTGCCAACCCCTGGAATAAAATAACAGTTAAAAATAAAGACTTTGAAGTCAGACAGAGTTGGATTTAAAGCCTGGCGCAGCCCCTTATTTGTGCTGTGACCACAGGCCAGTTACCCAACTCTGCCTTTACTTGAGTCAAACGAAGGCGATAGAGAGTATGAATCTTATGGGATGTTGGAGGTTATGTGAAAGCACACACCATGCGTAGGCCAGAACTCAGCCCCAAGTCCATGCTCAGCAATGAGAATGAGGCTGCCACTGCTTTTATTTTAATTCAATTTCTCCAAACACACTTCTCCCTATACAACGTGAGGAATGCAAACTATGTGCCTCGGAAAACAGCAGGCAACTATTAGGGCATCTGGGTTCCTCTTTGGGTTCTGCCACTAGAAATAATGATGACAAATGGTAAGTTCCATGTGCTGAACACTCACTAGGTCCTAGGCGCTGTGCTAGGGACTAGAAAGAGGTTAACTCATTTCACCCTAACGATAAGAAGAGGACAAAAGTAGGTTTTACTATGTATGAGCCAGATGTGGGCCCTTCCTACTCTGACATTTTACTTTCTCTAGTTCTGCCTAAGTGTAGGTTTTCCTGTTAGGAAATCTTGACATTACTGCTTTAACAGAAGTATGGAAGCACCGCAACAGATGCAGCTCTAACATGCCCCAATGAGGAAGACTGGAGGTGCCTTGGAGCCAGTCAACAGAGGGGGAGACCCAGGCGTGCATCCAGCATGGTCTCCCGCATGAGCTGAAGGTCAACCTTTACAACACAGAAATGAGGCAGATTCTGGCACCTTGGACAACTTTTTCTATTGAAATTACTAATCAAGGGCGCCTGGGTGGCTCAGTTGTTAAGTGTCTGCCTTCGGCTCAGGTCATGATCCCAGGGTACTGGGATCGAGCCCCACATCGGGCTCCCTGCTCAGCGGGGAGTCTGCTTCTCCCTCTCCCACTCCCCCTGCTTGAGTTCTCTCTCTCCCTGTCTCTCTCTCTCTGGCAAATAAATAAATAAATAAATAAATAAATAAATAAATAAAATCTTAAAAAAAAGAAATTACTAATCAAATGTGTATCTACTGATGTTTCTACATTTGAAACTAAATAATGGTACATCTACTCGTTCCCTTTTAAAAATCAAAGTTAATAGTCAAAGTAACAACAGTTCTTAACTCTATGTACTTGAAAATACCTGACAGGGTGCAGAAACTTCTTTCATATCTAGTTCATTAAGTCAGCGACTAGCATTGTGAATATACATAAACAGGGCTGTTGATGGTAACTTTTCTCTGAGGAACGTTTCCATAACACCAAGGCAGAGAGAGGTTTCACTACCTTCTACTTACCTCTTTCTACAGGTAATTAATTATTTTCAAAATTCTCAACCACACAATCACTGGAGCATGTCTAAGAGTTGAAAACAAATTTATTTGCTTATGATGACAAGGGCATATAATAGCATTCTAATCATTAATCACCAAATCTGATAAAGGTCACTGTAGGATGGAATTTCAAAGCAAGGTGGAAGAGACAGTAAGAACTGGAGTAAGGAAATTCTCTTGAACACCCTCACTCTGCACCTTCATGGTGAATCTGTACCACTGAGGAAGTGAAAAGAACATGAATTATCTAGAGTCAGACTGAATGTGATTTTACTCAAATATGAAGAACAAGGGTAAACACCTTGAAGATGCTGAACTCTGAGAGCAGGAGAACGGTAAGACTATTAAAACATGGCAAGTGAGCCAAGAATCAAACCAATGAAGGGAGCTGTGGCAGAAATGATGCTATGCGGCCACCATATCCCATTTCACTTTCCCCTTCCTAGCACAGTAAGGCCACATTTCAAAGCTTCTCTAGCAGTGAGGTTAAGGCCGAGAGATTGAATTATGGCTCATAAGATATGGTGGGAAGTGATGTCTACCCCTCTAGTGTGGTTATTATACTCCATGCATGATTATCCAAGCTCTCTCTTCCATGGCAACTCTGGAAGCCCCGTGCCCCAGATGGCATGGATACAAGATGGGTGCAGCCTAAGTTCTTACATCATGATCTGGAGAAGAGCTTCCCAGGAAAACCACTCAACTTGTATTGGACCATAAGGTGGGTAAGAGATAAAACTCTATAGTGTTAAAGCTCAGATTTCATCTTTATTACAGAAACATGGTTTCAACTATCCTAATTCCAAGATTTATCACAACGAAAAATTTAGAAATGTAATGTTCAAAGAATTTCAGAATCATCAGTAAATGTACAAAGAAAGCTGCTACAAGATCTAAGCATTGGAAATTGACACAAAGAGAGAAATATGCCTTGGGGAGATTTTTCCTATATAAATATATATATATTTGTTGGAGTCCTCAAGTTTGAGATTTCTGTGTCTAACGAAAGTAGGCCCATGAATAGCCAAGTGACCAAAACTCCCAAAGGTTTATATCTTCCACTTAGGCTCATTATGGAGAAGCCAAGCACCCTAGGAACTGGGAAAAGTTACTTACTAGGAATCCCTTCTGCCCAAAAATCTTATTAACCAAAAAGGGTGGATGACTCCTAGGGTTTTGTTTTGTTTTGTTTTTAAAGATTTTATTTATTTATTTGACAGAGAGAGGCACAGCGAGAGAGGGAACACAAGCAGGGGGAGTGGAAGAGGGAGAAGCAGGCTTCCTGCTGAGCAGGGAGCCCAATGTGGGACTCGATCCCAGGACCCTGGGATCATGACCTGAGCCGAAGGCAGACGCTTAACAACTGAGCCACCCAGGTGCCCCTGTTTTGTTTTTTTTAAATAACTTGAATCCCTTACTTTAAAGAAAGAATCATATGCCTTTTTTGGGTAACCCTGTCATGAAAGGCTGAGTAGGCTAATCAAGCAAATTAAATTGTTTGATTAGGTAAAGGTCAGGGCCTTGGGCTTCGAGGGAAATGCTAGGAAAGACAAATGCTGGAGCACAAGAAAACCATCTGGTCTACATGAGTTCAAAGTCGTTTACTTCCTTATAAAAAACAGTCAAACTATCAGTCTCTAGAAGCCCAGGTCTGAAATCTACATTCACTGAAACTGAACAACACTGAAATGTGTCGAATCCTCACAGTTTATACCCCTGATTAAAAAATTGTGTGGGTTGCTAGGAGCAGAATGAACTCTTCAAAAAGAACCTAGAGGCCAACAGGGCATTCCTTCATCAGTAGATCTAGGGAAAAGTCAAGAAGAATAGTAGCAAGCACCAAGGCTTACCAACTGGATGGTCATCTAATTTATCATCCAAATCAGGACATTTTGGGGAGTGCAAAGAGGCACATTAATAATTATGCCAGGACAACAGATGTAAACCAAGAAGGTCTGGGACATATGATTACCCTACCTCAAAGTCAAATTTTAGGTACGTACATCAAGTTCTATGTGGAAAGTCACGCTAGTCTATGAAATGAAAAGTATCCTAATGCTGAGATGCTACTAAGCAAGCAGTCTGTGAGTATGTCTCCTTTTCCAGTTGCTTTTGGCCTCTGTGATTATGTTTATATGGCCACCATTTTAGGACAACCTTGGGCAGTGTCCTTGGGTTCTCTCTCTGAGTGCCTAACATCAGGAGGTAGATAGTGGGAGACAAGTCAGCAGTCAGAGATGTGGAAGCCAGGAAGCTATAAATCCACATTCACTGCAGTACACTGGACTTGTCAGGTCTCGACCAGCCATGCTTCTTGTCACACGAGGTCCTCCTTCTTAAGTGAACAGTAGCACAAATATTTTAATTCAGTCCTCAGTAGTAAAACAGTAAAACCCTTAAGTTACTTCCATATGTGTTCAAAACTGGGATTAGAACAGAAGTCAACATTTATGTGAACAAAGAGTAAAAAATTGTGTGTAGAAAAACAAGACTGCCACTAATGTCTACTTTCATAATGTATATTCACTCATCTGATTATTTTCTGTTTGACAGGGCTTAGCTTCTCCATATTGCAAGCCCTGATCATGCCCAGTGGCCCCTGACAGATTTACCCAAGAAGTCTCCTGCTGCCCTCTCCACCAGGTCTCATTCATTCATTTAATAACAAACACTGGTCACTATGGAGATGAGCAACTTCATGGGGCTTTGAGCATAATAGCATTGTACAATGAAGCACCATGCCTGTTCCCTTTTTACACTCCAAGGTTCTCTTTTCTCCTTTTATACACATACATATTTTTAATTCATCAAATAATTACTATAACTTGTAATGAAGAGAGACACAGAATTTAAACTCAGTACATTCCTACAAGCATAAGTTTGTAACCTTATAATTATCCTCTGTCCTTATGTTGCTTTCCTTTTTTGAAAACAATAGGCTTAAAAGTCAAATGATTTTT